CCAAAATTTACCTCGGAACTTAGTTCGTTAAAACTCCCTCGCCGAATAAGAAAAGCGAGTGGAGGCCGAGGCCGAATTTTTGGAGCCCACATAGAGCCTCCAATAAGCTGCATTACCGATCTCCCCCATCTCTCTTGCCACAAATCTACCCGACCTCCCCTTTATTCCTTCAAGCCGAGACCTCCTCTCCACGCCAAACTTCAAGCCGCCCCCTGCTCTGCCTTGCCCAACCCCTCTCTTAGTCTACCAAGACCCGACCTCTCCTCTCTGTTGTAAGCAGACCGAGCTTTAGCCCTCTCACCCGACCTCCATACCCGACTCTTAGGTATAAGTTTTTTTTTAGTTATTAACTAATATTAGTTATTGTTATTATTAGTTAAGTGTGTGTATATATATTTTGTGTATGTTTGAATGTGAGAGAGAAAGTGAAAAAATGGGGGATCGTATAAAAAAATAAAAAATCAGTGTTGATCTTCGTGCATTTCGTCGTCATCATCAAAAAATGAGTGTAGATTTCAATAATTTTGTCTTTGCTACTCACTGGACAATGGAGACGCAACAACAATAATGCTTAAAAAATGACTTAATATAAGCATTAACTATTATTATTATCCACATGAATTCCTTTATTCATGACGGCCTTCAAACTTTCCCATAAATATTGTTCATATCAACCTCCTCGTTGGAGATTCGAGTGACAACTGTCATATCAAACACCTGAGCAACAAATTGCAAGATGTATTGAGCAAGTCAGTTTCATTGAAATCGCAAGAAGGTTGCAAAGGACCATGTTAGGCAACGGCCTGGAGACTACAGTTGTTGGAAACAAGACAATCTCCTTGGAACCAAATCAAAGATCAAATGAGGCAGATACAACTCTGATCGGATTAAATATCGATGGAATGTAGAGGGTTGTCTTCATTCTTGATCAGATCAAAGATCAATTGAATGCATGGTTTCAATTTTTTTTCCTGACTTTAGGATCAAAGATACAACAAATAAGTGTTCTTCACATCTTTTTTTCTTCCCGACTAGATCAAACGTACAAAAAACATGCAGCCTTCAAATTTCTTTTTTTTTTATTTCTGACCTGCTCAAATATATGATGAACACAACAACAACATCAAGCCTTTATCCCACCGGCTACATTAATCCTTTTTTTCCATTGTGTCCTGTTACGAGTCAAATTCTCATTTAAATCTAACAAAGAAATGTCATTTCAAAGATATGACGAGCACGAGATCTTATATTTCTCTTTTTCTGTTTTGTAATTTGCCCACAGATCTGTGAGAAAGCATATCCTATTTATACCTTTGTTCGAGCGAAGTGAAGTCAATTAAGAGTTCAAGAGAACTATATTTTAAGTTCACAAGTTTCATAAAACAACGTGGGGCCTCAGGCAGGTTAGCATAAGTGAGACGAAAATTAAGAGTAGTGCGATTCTAGGAACCCAAGCATTAACAAGGCTCTTTAGTGCGTGTAACTTGCAGAACGGCTGCAAGAACAAGGGCAGCACTGTAGTAGAGGTTGTGATTGCAGGATTCAAGGAGTTGGTGAGGCTCTAGGCTGCATACGATTATGGGAAAAGGGCATCGAGAGGCTCTCAAGTGTGTGTTGATTTGGGAACTGACACGAGTTTGAAACAGGGAGGAACAGAGCAAGGTCATGAGAGAGAAATGGAGAGAAATAGTAAAATTATCAATGCCAAAGCAAGGAAATATGAGGTCAAAGGAAGAAGAGATAAATGCATATCAGTCTAGGGAGTCACATGGGTTAGTGCAATTTTTTTTATGGTTGGAAGCGAGGTCCACATGAAGATTGAGTGTGTTCATGGTTGATGCGGAGGAAAATTGCAACAAGGGTGTTGATTGAATTGTAGTTGAGTGCTCGAGTGAATCCGAGTGAGGCACAAAAGAAAAGGGGTTGCTTGGGTGAATTTGAATATGTTTTACTTTTTTTTTCTAATGATTGTAAATAATTTGCCCACAACAGATTTAATATGTAGCAATAGCAATAGCACGGTACATTTGATACACCTCTTTTATTAGAAACTTCATTGAAAATTAGAGCCCAGGCAATAGCACGGTACATTTCATGAAGATCCTATTCAACTACAGTCCCTCCATAGGATTCAATAGGGGCATCCTCATAAGATTACAATCTAAGCAGAATTTCAAAAGAACATCATAGTGCATGGTTGCCAAATTGATGTCCAAAGAATCCCCCTTGCTATTCTTGACAATGCTTCATACAAAAGGGTTGTCCCACACCCCTTAGAAAGAGATAAGAGGATCTACAAAGAGATATGCAATGTTCCCTTTCCCTCTTGGAAATTTGCATGAGTTACTCATATTAGGATGATTTCTTGAGGAAGTCCTGCTTGATTATGCAGATGGCATATGTTGATGTGACTGCACTATGAAAAACTATGGAAGTAGAATTATGAATGACGAGGCCGACTATTTGATGTGAAACCAACATGCGTAGGAGCTCATTAAGACAATTAAGAAGGATTAAACAATTTAATTTCACTTGAAAGCTTATTGTCGAGACAAGATAATTCAATAAAGATTCTTGGTTTTCAACTCGCTTAGGCGAAGGAGTACATGTAAATTAACTAATCCTCGGAGATAAACAAAAATAGTAGCAAAGCTAAGAGCTATTAAACAACAATCCAAAATTTAATAATGAGAAATTTCACCTTGGGGATTATTCACTCGACTACACTAGGCTTGGCGAGAGAATATTTTGCAACTAGAATTGAGATCACCACTAGGAAGAAGATGCCGGAAGTCTTTGTCCACGGGAAAGTAGTCGGAGTAGGTGGGGTTGGCGGTTTTCTCTTTTTATTTTTAAATCTCCCTAGTGTGGCCGGCTGGCATGCTGGTGAAGGGGAGAGGCAATCTCATGAGGTGGCTTCCCATTTGAATTAGTTATGTGGCACAATATGGCGTATTAATAACTTCCAATATCAAATTGGAATTAAAAGTTAGGAAACCGTCATGTGAAATACTTTCCAAATTTGGAATTCCAAATTAGTGTTAAGGAATTTGAAACTTTA